ATCTTTGGAGCTACCTTTTGCGTTACCTTAGCGTTCTGGCACTTGTATTGTGAGTGTCCGTATTCCCCGCAGTTGATACAAGCACCACGCGTTCGGCGGTCACGCCACACGTCTTGTTCAAGACTTGCCTTTACCCACTCAGCCTGCTTGGTCTGATTGGAGGCGGCCTTCCCTTGACCCCTAGGCTGGCCCTTCCCTCGGCCTGCCGCCTTAGTCTTAACTACCGCGGCGAGGGTGCTACCCTCAGCTACCTCCTCTCCGTCATACTCTGAGTAGTCCATCAGGTCAGAGAGTTCATCGATCTCAGTTTGAGTCCCATTAGACTCAACCATCATCAACTTCGCCCCCTTCTTCTTCCACTCCTGAGGACTCTTCTTCTTCTTTGAGTCATTCCCTGAGGTGGGTTGAGCATTGCCTAGCGTGGCCTCCCAAGTCTAAGGCTTTCCTAGACAGTGTCTCAAACGAGTGGTATTCAGTGCGTGCCTCGCTGACTAGCAAGTTCCTAATGTTCTCTGGGAGACATCTGACAAACGTAGTCAATAGGAACTGATCGCTGTAGTTGATGCCTGGGACGAGGATCAGGCTCTCAACGGTAGTCGTAAGCTCTCTAACTGACCTGAACTTGCGTTGGTCTAGTTTGTTAATGGCATCAGTGGCCTTTTGAGCCTCCTGTGGGTTATGCCATCGAGCTTCTACCATTTCCATGAACTGGTCTAATGTCAGAGACTTAGCCCAGTCCGCCATGCGTCTCTCATACCCGACCTTTATAACTACACCATTTAACCACTTGGCTGCCTTACCCTTGAGGCAAGATGCCGCAGTTACCACTTCGTCCTCTAGCAAGGTTCTCTTGGCCTTCACCCAAACCGGGACTGTTCTCAACCAAGTGTTGAGTTCTTCGCCCTTTCCCTCGCCTGAGGAGGCAAGAGGCGGTTTCATCGGGGTCTTAGGATACCATTGACCTTGCTGCTGTCCTTGTGGAGGAACAGGTTGTTGCGATGATGTAGCAATCACCGGTGGACTCGAAGAAGAAGACGCAGCAGTCTGAGACTGCTGCAGACGTACCACTTGGCTGTGTGCTTGAACTGGAAAGGGGCCTGACATCGCCGATAACAGCAACGGCGATTGTGCTGGTGGCCGGAATCCTGGCCTTGTCAACGCATCCAGGATCTGGTCTAGAGTGCTCTGCATGAAGTCTAATTTGCTGTCCTAGTGTGCGTGCAATGACAACATATTTTTCTTCAATACTTTTAGCGGGTCAGTCAATGCTGACTCATCCAAGCCCTCTAGTTCAGCCTTGTCAGCCTCTAGAGTTTCAAGCCTGGCTGCTCTAGTTTTCATCGCAGTTTCTCTATCGGTAGCTTCTTTTATATCCTGCTCTAACTTACGGTGGAGCCTCTCGACCTGTTGGATCTCTCTAAGCTCCCTCTCACGCGGGGTCAACGGGCTGAACTGCGCACCCGCCATTTGACTAGAAGACTGTCTAGAACCTGTGGAACCGGAAGTGCCCGAGGAACTTGTGGAACTCGTTGGCATTCCCAACTGGCCCCCATTAGTCCCTGACAAGGACGCAGATGATGACGCAGCAGAGCTTGCGCCATTAGCCATCACTGCTGCTCTGGCTGCTGTTGCCTGCTCTCTAGCTGCTGCGTTTGCTGCTGCTATCCCCGCTGCTAGAGCACGGGCTCTACGTAGCCGTCTTTCTTCTCCCTGCTCCAAGGCCTGGAACACGTGCGGTACCCTTA